TAAATTTATTTCTATTTAACTTCTAAATAGTTAAATTTTTCTAACTCTAATTAGATTAGGTTAAGATTTTTCTAATCTTATTTAATTAGGTTTACTTTTCACTATTTTATAAATAATGATAAATAGATAATTTTTTTTGACATATGATTACATATAATTAAAAAAAAATCTCTTACCGTTTGTTTATACGTGTCAAAATCTGATTAACCGACTTGACACGTATTCCGATCATGTTAATTACGAAGATTTTGGAACCAATACTTAGTCGGAAAATAGCTTAATTTTTATTAGTATAAAATAGTATAACCGGGCTTCACGCAGACGTTCCATTGATGGTAGCGCCTTGTTTGAGCAACCCTATTTATTGTCGCGCGAGGCTAGTGTGATTACATACGTCAACTTACACATTCGTAAATATGGTCATTTACAAAAACCATAATTCATTTCCAATGAATTTTGAGTTGAAGAATTACGAAACTTAATACTCTTTCCATTTTTGACCAAAAAAACATAATTTATTATATAATTAAGGAGTTTTTTCTCCATCTATGGTGTCCACATCATCAAAACAAAAATTGTTACATTAAAATTTAAAGTAAATATTCATTTTAATGCATACTAGATGATTTCCCGTACCATATGCGGGTTCAAATATGTTTATACGAATAAAATTATAATTTGCTATTATCAATCTGTGATATTGATGTGGAGATATGTGTTATATAATGATTGTGTGTATATGTAAATGTATTTTGTAAAAATAAAAATTATGATTCATTATTGTAAATTTGTGATTAGCAAATAGTTTTTTTAATTAGGTTCATGTTCCATATTATGACATACCAAAAGGAAGATTTGATGGTAAGAGATCGAAGATAGACACAAAAAATTTTCTTCCACATACTATTTTTTAGTGTTTCTCAAACTCATTCAAATTTTTGGCCAACATGCGTAAAGAAAAGGAAAATTGTTTACACATATAACGATGACTATATTCGACCAAAAAAAAAGTTATGATTACATAT